ACAACGTAAGTTTCGAGTTCCTACCGCTTAATATTGGCTTCCTTTGTGTTCTTTGGATTGTACCTGGAAGTGTCCATCTCTGAGTCAAAAAAGTACCTAATTCAGACAAAATCAGTCAAAAGAAGACTGGTTGGGGATGTCCCCTATCCAACAGAATGTAGTTGATGGAATAATTGCAGTGGTAATAAATCATGGCTAAATAAACAACGTTTGTTTGCTGGTTATGATAGGGGATAGCTTGTTGCTACTTTCTGGGGAATCAAAAACCCTGCTTCGGGATGTCTTCCATCTCCCAAAACAATTAGTTATAGCCCTGTTTGAATAGAGCGAAAACAGCAAAGCCCTACAGATTTTCTGAAAAAAAGCACAGGTGTCTTGAACATTCTATGAGCGCAATATCTTGTGCAACTACCTGAATTGTTTAGTCTGAGCCTGCAGAACAATAAGGACAGATATTAGCAAGGTATAATAATGCTTAAACTTCATGTGGCTCGTTGGTCTAGGGGTATGATTCTCGCTTTGGGTGTGAGCGGTCCTGGGTTCGACTCCCAGACGAGCCCAAGCTGTCCGTTGAACTTGGTGCTTGCTTTGTTCACGAGAGATCGAAAAAGCTAGAAATTCCAAATAAGCTCGTCCCTCTTCAGCCGCTTTTGCTCAATAAACCTTTCAGGGAAGCCTATGTTAAGGGAATGCCTGTTTCACCATGCAACCAGAGCTCAGACATGTTACTTTGATCTCTGAAGACAAATGCAAAAATAACTGTAGCAGGCACTGATACCACTAAATTGAAATGGCTAGTGTGATGGACTAAGCTTGGAACCATATTGGAAAGGAAAGTAGAACTTTCTAGGATGTCTACTCTTGTCTATGTTATGACGGTTGTGCAAGTGGAAATGAACTAAAACAAAAGTACCTTGAGGTAAACCAGTCTGATAAGCAATTTGGCTTGATGGCCTAGGGGTATGATTCTAATTTTGGGTGAGAGTGGTCCCCAGTTGAAATCCCTGATGAGCCCTTTCCTTGCTGTTAACTCGTCCTTCTGTAATCAAGGAAAATTTTTGGCCGCACCCTCAACCGGAGCTTTACGACATAGTTGATGTCAAGAGGTTCTCTCCTGCCAGGTTCAAATCCCTGATGAGGCTTGTATTTTTCTGAACATGCCCTTCTGAATCTGAGGGCCATTTTGCTCAAAACACCATTCAGGGAAACCCATGTTCAGGATATCCTCCCTTTCACAATGTCACCTCAGCACTCGCTTTCCTGTCAAGCTGTCCTTCTGTAACCAATTGCCATTTTTCTCGGAAACCTTTCAGGGAGGCCCATTTGCAAGGACTCCCCTTATCAGGTTTTGTCTCCCAATTGGTTAGCACGTTGGAGGTCCAACTTCGGCGATGAGAACTTGCAAACTCTCTACGTCATCACAGCTTTGAAATAAAACCAGTGCTGAACGATATCATTTTGATCTCTGAAAAGAACACAAATAAATGTAGCAGGAACCTATACCACTACATTGAAATGGCTAGTGTGATGGACTAAGGTTGAAACAGCCAGATTGGCTGTTTAGCTTGTTGGGCGCAGGGATTTGATTTGATTCTCACTCTTGGGTGTGACATGGCCCGGGTTGAATTCCTGAATGAGCTCTTACCTGCTTTTAAACTGTCCCTCTGTAATCGAGGGAATTATTGCTATTCACTCCAACCACGACATAGTTACTCGAATGCCATGAGCTGTCTGTTGGTTCTTGCATGACTGCTTGGTTCTCAAGCGTCCTAAAAGGTACAAAACCAAGATGAGAGCCAGCTTGTTTCTCAACTTGTCCTTCTGTAACAGAGTTTAATTTTGGTCATACTAGTCACCACGAGCAAGCTTTCCACATCCGTTCACATCTTTCACAGTAATATCTTGTGCAACCATCTCAAACTTTTAGCAGGAACCTACAGAACTGAAAGGACATACATTTGCAGTGTACAGTAAGCGTCCATCACTGTACCTGGGGTCGTTTGGCTCGTTGGTCTAGTGGTATGATTCTCGCTTAGGGTGCGAGAGGTCCCGGGTTCAAATCCCGGATGAGCCCAAGTGTTACTGTCAACCGCTTAGTTCACGAGAGATTCAAATTGCAGATAGGTGGATTTTTTTCTTGCAACTTACTCTGTGGTACCCTGCTCACTTTTTGCTCTGACACCTTTCAGGGATGTCCAATTTCAGGAACAACCCCTTTCAGGTTTGGTCTCATTATTGGGTAGCATCTTGGAGGGCCGACTTAGGAGATGAGAACTTGCCAACTCTCTACATCATCACAGCTTTGTAATAAAGCCAGTGCTAACTTGTGCATGTTTAAATGAACAAAAATAACAGCCAGGTGGGCTATTTCACTCGTTGGTCTAGGGGTATGATTCTAATGTTGGGTGGGTTGAAATCCCTGATGAGCCCTTACTTTGCTGTTAACTCTTCCTTCTGTAATCGAGCAAATTTTTGCTCTTCACCTCAACCGAGCTGCATAATGATCTGGCTGCTTGGCTCTCAAGAGGTTCTCTCCAGAAAGGTTCAAAACCAAGATGAGCCCTTGCTTTTTTCTCAACTTGTCCTTTTGTATCTGAGGGCTGTTGTGCTCCAACACCGACACCACAAGCAAGCTATCCATCATCGTTAGTCAAATGCCATCTTGTGATGTCAACAGTCCAGCTCTGATTAAGGACTGTGTTGATGCTAGTCTGATGATCACAAAAAGCCCCTTTTCAGGGCATCCATGCGTTCTACCTTTGGTGTAGTGTCTTGGTGTACCAACTTCTGCTGTAAGAACCAGCAAGCTCTCCATGTCACAAAAGAAGATTCACAAGATAGTCAGTCGAATGATGGCAAAAACCATCTTGTGATGTGAAGAATCCAGCTGTGAATAAGGAGCGCATATAGGCTTGACTACTTATCAAAGAGGCCCTTTTCACTGAAATGCACATTCCTGAAGAAATCATTTTCAGTTCAATGTTCCAATAGAGGATAAAATGAGGATCGTGCACACTAATCATGAGGACAACGTAGTTTCGAGTTCCTACCGCTTAATATTGGCTTCCTTTGTGTTCTTTGGATTGTACCTGGAAGTGTCCATCTCTGAGTCAAAAAAGTACCTAATTCAGACAAAATCAGTCAAAAGAAGACTGGTTGGGGATGTCCCCTATCCAACAGAATGTAGTTGATGGAATAATTGCAGTGGTAATAAATCATGGAATAAGGACAAATAAACAACGTTTGTTAGCTGTTATAAGGGAGGCAAACTGTTTTTCGAATCTTCCACTAATTTTTTTTAAACACTATTTCACAGATTTTCTGAAAAACAGCACAGGTGATCTTGAACATTCTATGGCCCCAATATCTTGTGCAACTACCTCAATTGTTTAGTCTGAGCCTGCAGAACAATAAGGACAGATATTAGCAAGGTATAATAATCGCTTAAACTTCATGTGGCTCGTTGGTCTAGGGGTATGATTCTTGCTTTGGGTGTGAGCGGTCCTGGGTTCTGACTCCCAGAGCCCAAGCTTTCCGTTGAACTTGGTACTTGCTTTGTTCACGAGACAAAAAGCTAGAAATTCCAAATAAGCCTCGTCCCTCTTCAGCCGCTTTTGCTCAATACACCTTTTCAGGGAAGTCTATGTTAAGGGAATGCCTGTTTCACCATGCAACCACAGCTTTGTAATAAAACCAGAGCTCAGCCATGTTACTTTGATCTCTGAAGACAAATGCAAAATAACTGTAGCAGGCGCTGATACCCTACATTGAAATGGCTAGTGTGATGGACTTAGCTTGGAACCATATTGGAAAGGAAAGTAGAACTTTCTAGGATGTCTACTTGTCTATGTTATGACGGTTGTGCAAGTGGAAATGAACTAAAACAAAAGTACCTTGAGGTAAACCAGTCTGATAAGCAATTTGGCTTGATGGCCTAGGGGTATGATTCTAATTTTGGGTGAGAGTGGTCCCCAGTTGAAATCCCTGATGAGCCCCTTTCCTTGCTGTTAACTCATCCTTCTGTAATCAAGGAAAATTTTTGCCGTCACCTCAACCGAAGCTTCACCATATTAGTGATGTCAAGAGGTTCTCTCCTGCCAGGTTCAAATCCCTGATGAGGCTTGTATTTTTCTGAACATGCCCTTCTGAATCTGAGGAGGGCCATTTTGCTCAAAACACCATTCAGGGAAACCCATGTTCAGGATATCCTCCCTTTCACAATGTCACCTCAGCACTCGCTTTCCTGTCAAGCTGTCCTTCTGTAACCAATTGCCATTTTTCTCGGAAACCTTTCAGGGAGGCCCATTTGCAAGGACTCCCTTATCAGGTTTTGTCTCCCAATTGGTTACCCGTTCGGAGGTCCAACTCGGCGATGAGAACTTGAAACTCTCTACGTCATCACAGCTTTGAAATAAAAACCAGTGCTGAACGATATCATTTTGATCTCTGAAAAAGAACACAAATAAATGTAGCAGGAACCTATACCACTACATTGAAATGGCTAGTGTGATGGACTAACGTTCAGAATAGCTGTTAATGTTAGCTTGGTGACTGATTTGATTCTCACTTTGGGTGTGACATGGCCCGGGTTGAATTCCTGAATGAGCTCTTACCTTCGTTTAAACTGTCCCTCTGTAATCGAGGGAATTATTGCTATTCACTTCAACCACCGAACATAGTTACCGAATGCCATGAGCTGTCTGCTTGGGTCCTGCATGACTGCTTGGTTCTCGCACGTCCTAAAAGGTACAAAACCAAGACAGAGCCAGCTGCAGCTTGAACTCCTCAACTTCCTTCTGTAACAACAGATTTTGGTCATACTAGTCACCACAAGCAAGCTTTCCACATTCGTTCACATCTTTCACAGTAATATCTTGTGCAACCATCTCAAACTTTTAGCAGGAACACTACAGAACTGGAAGGACATACATTTGCAAGGGCACAGGGTACAACTCCAGCGGTCCATGGCGCTGTTACCTGTGGGGTCGCTTTTTGGCGGTGGGTCGTTGGTTTATGGGGATTCTGCGCTTAGGGTGCGAGAGGTCCGGGTTCAAATCCCGAATGAGCCCAAGTGTTACAACTGTCGAACCGCTCTCCAGATTCAAATTGCAGATAGGTGGATTTTTTCTTGCAACTTACTCTGTGGTACCCTGCTCACTTTTTGCTCTGACACCTTCAGGAATGTCCAATTTCGGAACAACCCCCCTTCAGGTTTGGTCTCATTATTGGGTAGCATCTTGAGGGCCGACTTAGGAGATGAGAACTTGCCAACTCTCTACATCATCACAGCTTTGTAATAAAGCCAGTGCTAACTTGTGCATGTTTAAATGAACAAAAATAACAGCCAGGTGGGCTATTTCACTCGTTGGTCTAGGGTATGATTCTAATGTTGGGTGAGTTGAAATCCTTGATGAGCCTTACTTTGCTGTTAAATCTTCCTTCTGTAATGCGAGCAAATTTTCTCTCACTCCCAACCGACGTGCATAATGATCTGGCTGCTTGGCTCTCAAGAGGTTCTCTCCAGAAAGGTTCAAAACCAAGATGAGCCCTTGCTTTTTTCTCAACTTGTCCTTTTGTATCTGAGGGGTGTTGTGCCCAACACCGACGAAAACAAGTATCCATCATCTTAGCTCAAATGCCATCTTGTGAATGTCAACAGTCCAGCTCTGTTAAGGACTGTGTTGATGCTAGTCTGATAATGATCAAAAAAGCCCCTTTTCAGGGCATCCTTTTATCTTTCTACCTTTGGTGTAGTGTCTTGGTGTACCAACTTCTGCTGTAAGAACCAGCAAGCTCTCCATGTCACAAAAGAAGATTCACAAGATAGTCAGTCGAATGATGGCAAAAACCATCTTGTGATGTGAAAGAATCCAGCTGTGAATAAGGAGCGATATAGGCTTGACTACTTATCAAAGAGGCCCTTTTTCACTGAATGCACATTCCTGAAGAAATCATTTTCAGCAATGTTCCAATAGAGGATAAAAGGAGGATCGTGCACACTAATCATGAGGACAACGTAAGTTTCGAGTTCCTACCGGTTAATATTGGCTTCCTTTGTGTTCTTTGGATTGTAAAGCAGTGTCCATCTCTGAGTCAAAAAGTACCTAATTCAGACAAAATCAGTCAAAAGAAGACTGGTTGGGGATGTCCCCTATCCAACAGAATGTAGTTGATGGAATAATTGCAGTGGTAATAAATCATGGCTAAATAAACAACGTTTGTTTCTGTTGGTTATGATAGGGGATAGCTTGTTGCTACTTTCTGGGGAATCAAAAAACCTGCTTCGGGATATCTTCCATCTCCCAAAACAATTAGTTATAGCCCTGTTTGAATAGAGCGAAAACAGCAAAGCCCTACAGATTTTCTGAAAAAGCAACGGTGTCTTGAACATTCTATGAGCGCAAATATCTTGTGCAACTACCTCAATTGTTTAGTCTGAGCCTGCAGAACAATAAGGACAGATATTAGCAAGGTATAATAATGCTTAAAACTTCATGTGGCTCGTTGGTCTAGGGGTATGATTCTTGCTTTGGGTGTGAGCGGTCCTTGGTTCACTCCCCAGACCGAGCCCAAGCTCGTTGAACTTGGTACTTTCTTGTTCACGGGAGATCGAAAAGCTAGAAATTCCAAATAAGCTCGTCCCTCTTCAGCCGCTTTTGCTCAATAAACCTTTCAGGGAAGCCTATGTTAAGGGAATGCCTGTTTCACCATGCAACCAGAGCTCAGACATGTTACTTTGAACTCTCAAGACAAAAGCATAGTAGCACAATAATACCACACAAAAATAAATTGAAATAGCTAGTGTGATGGACTAAGCTTTGGAACCATATTGGAAAGGGAAAGTAGAACTTTAGGATGTCTACACTTGTCTACACTTTGAATGATTCTCGCTAGGGTGCGAGAGGTCCCGGTTAAATCCCGGATGAGCCCAGGTGAAGTGTTACTGTAAACCGCTTAGTTCACACGAGATTCAAATTGCAGATAGGTGAGGGGATTTTTCTTGCAACTTACTCTGTGGTACCCTGCTCACTTTTTTGCTCTGACACCTTTCAGGGATGTCCAATTTCAGTGAACAACCCCTTTCAGGTTTGGTCTCATTATGGGTAGCATCTTGGAGGGGCCGAACTAGGAGATGAGAACCTGCCAACTCTCTACATCATTACAGCTTTGCACAGCCAGTGCTAACTTGTGCATGTTTAAATGAACAAAAATAACAGCCAGGTGGGCTACCTGTTCGGTATCGGGGTATGATTCTAATGTTGGGTGGGTTGAAATCCCTGATGAGCCCTTACTTTGCTGTTAACTCTTCCTTCTGTAATCGAGCAAATTTTTGCTCTTCACCTCAACCCGAGCTGCAGCAATGATTCTGCTGGCTCGGCCTCAAGAGGTCCTCTCCAGAAAGGTTCAAAACCAAGATGAGCCCTTGCTTTTTTCTCAACTTCTCCTTTTGTATCTGAGGGCTGTTGTGCTCACAACACCCACACCACACAAGCGCTATCCATCATCGTTAGTCAAATGCCATCTTAGGATGTCAACAGTCCAGCTCTGATTAAGGACTGTGTTGATGCTAGTCTGATGATCACAAAAAGCCCCTTTTCAGGGCACCCATGCGTTCTACCAATTGGTGTGAGGTTCTTGGGTACCAACTTGCTGTAAGAACCAGCAAGCTCTCCATGACCAAAAAGAAGATCCCGCAACATAGATAGTCGAATGCTGGCAAAACCATCTTGTGATGTGAAGAATCCAGCTGTGAATAAAGAGCGCATATAGGCTTGACTACTTACGCAAGAGGCCCTTTAGGGAATGCACACATCCCTGAAAAATAATTTTCAGCCAATGTTCCAATAGAGGATAAAAGGAGGATCGGGCACACTAATCAATGAGGACAAGGTAAGTTTCGAGTTCCTACCGCTTAATATTGGCTTCCTTTGTGTTCTTGGAGGGACCTGGAAGTGTCCATCTCTGAGTCAAAAAGTACCTAATTCAGACAAAATCAGTCAAAAGAAGACTGGTTGGGGATGTCCCCTATCCAACAGAATGGAGAGTTGATGGAATAATTGCAGTGGTAATAAATCATGGCTAAATAAACAACATCGGTTTTTTGTTGGTATAGGGAAAAGGGGAATGGCACACCTTGCTACACTCTGGGGAAATCAAAAACCCTGCTTCGATGTCTTCTATCTCCCAAAACAATTAGTTATAGTCCTGTTTGAATAGAGCAAAAGAAAGCCCTAAGTTAAAACACAAAAAAGCCCCAAATTTTAAAAAAGAAAAGGCAACAGGTGCTAGACCCACAAAAAAAGCACAGGGGAACATTCTATAAGCGCAATATGTTGTGCAACTACCTGAATTGTTTAGTCTGAGCCTGCAGAACAATAAGGACAGATATTAGCAAGGTATAATAACCCTTAAACTTCATGAACTAGATGCCTCGCTGGGTGTGAGCATCCTGGGTGGGAGGATCTGGCCCCGCAGCGCCCAAGCTTTCCGCTGAATTTGTTACCTTGCTTTGTTCACGTAGATCAAAAACTAGCTAAAAATTCCAAAAATAAGGTCGCCCCCTCTCAAGCTGCTTTGCTCAATACACCTTCAGGGAAGCCTAAGGTAAGGGGAATGCCTGTTTCACCATGCAACCACAGCTTTGTATTAAAACCAGAGCTCAGCGCATGTTACTACTTGATCTATGAAGACAAATGCAAAAATAACTGTAGCAGGCACTGATACCACTAAATTGAAATGGCTAGTGTGATGGACTAAGCTTGAACCATATTGAAAAGGAAAGTAGAACTTTCTAGGATGTCTACCTTGTCTATGTTATGACGGTTGTGCAAGCATGGAAATGAACTAAAACAAAAGTACCTGAGGTAAACCAGTCTGATAAGCAATTTGGCTTGATGGCCTAGGGTATGATTTCTAATTTTTGGGTGAGAGTGGTCCCCAGTTGAAACCCTGATGAGCCCTTTCCTTGCTGTTAACTCGCCTTTCTGTAATCAAGGAAATTTTTGGCCGTCACCTCAACCGAGCTTCAACGACATAGTTGATGTCAAGAGGTTCTCTCCTGCCAGGTTCAAATCCCTGATGAGGCTTGTATTTTTCTGAACATGCCCTTCTGAATCTGAGGGCCATTTTGCTCAAAAACACCATTCAGGGAAACCCATGTTCAGGATATCCTCCCTTTCACAATGTCACCTCAGCACCTGCCTCTCCGTCAAGCTGTCCTTCTGTAACCAATGCTATTTTGCTCGAGACACTCTTCAGGGAGGGCCCATGTGCAAGGACTCCCTTATCAGGTTTTGTCTCCCAATTGGTTAGCACGTTGGAGGTCCAACTTCGCGATGAGAACTTGGCAAACTCTACGCCATCACAGCTTTGAAATAAAACCAGTGCTGAACGATATCATTTTGATCTCTGAAAAGAACACAAATAAATGTAGCAGGAACCTATACCACTACATTGAAATGGCTAGTGTGATGGATTAAGGTTGAAACAGCCAGATTGGCTGTTTAGCTTGTTGGGCGAAGGATTTGATTTGATTCTCACTTTGGTGTGACATGGCCCGGGTTGAATTCCTGAATGAGCTCTACTCTTCGTTTTTAAACTGTCCCTCTGTAATCGAGGGAATTATTGCTATTCACTTCAACCACCCACATAGTTACTCAATGCCATGAGCTGTCTGCTTTGTTCTTGCATGACTGCTTGGTTCTCAAGCGGTCCTAAAAGGTACAAAACCAAGATGAGAGCCAGCTTGTTTCTCAACTTGTCCTTCTGTAACAGAGTTTAATTTTGGTCATACTAGTCACCACGAGCAAGCTTTCCACATCTGTTCAACATCTTTCACAGTAATATCTTGTGCAAACCATCTCAAACTTTTTAGCAGGAACCTACAGAACTGGAAGGACATACATTTGCAGGGTACAGTGCAACTCCAGCGGTCCATGACGCTATGCCTGTGGGTAGTTTGGCCTGTTGGTCTAGTGGTATGATTCTTGCTTCGGTGCGAGAGGTCCCGGTTCCAAACCGATGAGCCCAAGTGTTACATCTCAACTGTCAACCAATTTGTTGCTTGGCTGCTTAGTTCACGAGATATCAAATTGCCCATAGGTGGATGTGTGTTTTGTAACTTACTCTGCGGTACCCCTGCTCACTTTTTGCTCTGACACCTTCAGGGATGTCCATTTCAGGAACAACCCTTTCAGGTTTGGTCTCATTACTGGGTAGCATCTTTGAGGGCCGACTTAGGAGATGAGAACTTGCCAACCTCTACATCATGACAGCTTTGTAATAAAGCCAGTGCTAACATGTGCATGTTTAAATGAACAAAAATAACAGCCAGGTGGGCTATTTCACTCGTTGGTCTAGGGTATGATTCTAATGTTGGGTGAGAGATGTCCCGGTTGAAATCCCTGATGAGCCCTTTACTTTGCTGTTAACTCTTCCTTCTGTAATCGAAAGCAAATTTTTGCTCTTCACCTCAAACCGAGCTGCATAATGATCTGGCTGCTTGGCTCTCAAGAGTAGTTTCTCCAGAAAGGTTCAAAACCAAGATGAGCCCTGCTTTTTCTCAACTTGTCCTTTTGTATCTGAGGGCTGTTGTGCTCCAACAACCACACCACAAGCATCATCATCATTTAGTCAAATGCCATCTTGTGATGTCAACAGTCCAGCTCTGAGAGTAAGGACTGTGTTGAAGTCTGATGATCACAAAAGCCCCTTTTCAGGGCATCCTGCGTTTCTTACCTTTGGTGTAGTGTCTTGGTGTACCAACTTCTGCTGTAAGAACCAGCAAGCTCTCCATGTCACAAAAGAAGATTCACAAGATAGCAGTCAGAATGCTGGGCAAAAACCATCTTGTGATGTGGAAGAATCCAGCTGTGAATAAGGAGCGCATATAGGCTTGACTACTTATCAAAGAGGCCCTTTTCACTGAATGCACATTCCTGAAGAAATCATTTTCAGCAATTGTTCCAATAGAGGATAAAAGGAGGATCATGCACACACAATCATGAGGACAACGTAAGTTTCTGAGTTTCCTACCGCTAATATTGGCTTCCTTTGTGTTCTTTGGACTGTACCTGGAAGTGTCCATCTCTGAGTCAAAAAGTACCTAATTCAGACAAAATCAGTCAAAAGAAGACTGGTTGGGGATGTCCCCTATCCAACAGAATGTAGTTGATTGAATAATTGCAGTGGTAATAAACAGTCATGGCTAAATAAACAACGTTTGTTTGCTGGTTATGATAGGGGATAGCTTGTTGCTACTTTCTCTGGGGAATCAAAACCCTGCTTCCGGATATCTTCCATCTCCCAAAACAATTAGTTATAGCCCTGTTTGAATAGGAGTCAAAACAGCAAAGCCCTACAGATTTTCTGAAAAAGCACAGGTGTCTTGAACATTCTATAGAGCGCAATATCTTGTGCAACTACCTCAATTGTTTAGTCTGAGCCTGCAGAACAATAAGGACAGATATTAGCAAGGTATAATAATGCTTTAAACTTCATGTGGCCTTGGTCTAGGGTATGATTCTCGCTTTGGTGTGAGCGGTCCCGGGTCCGACTCCCAGATGAGCCCAAGCTGTCCGTTGAACTTGGTGCTTGCTTTGTTCACGAGACCTCAACCGAGCATCACGATGCATAGTTGATGTCAAGAGGTTCTCTCCTGCCAGGTTCAAATCCCTGATGAGGCTTATATTTTTCTGAACATGCCCTTCTGAATCTGAGGGCCATTTGCTCAAAAACACCATTCAGGGAAACCCATGTTCAGGATATCCTCCCTTCACAATGTCACCTCAGCACTCGCTTCCTGTCAAGCTGTCCTTCTGTAACCAATTGCCATTTTGCTCGGACACCTTTCAGGGAGGCCCATTTTGCAAGGACTCCCTTATCAGGTTTAGTCTCCCAATTGGTTAGTACGTTGGAGGTCCAGCTTCAGCGATGAGAACTTGAGAACTCTTCTTACCGTCATCACAGCTTTGAAATAAAACCAGTGTTGAACGATATCATTTTGATCTCTGAAAAGAACACAAATAAATGTAGCAGGAACTTATACCACTACATTGAAATGGCTAGTGTGATGGATTAAGGTTGAAACAGCCAGATTGGCTGTTTAGCTTGTTGGGCTTAGGATTGATTTGATTCTCACTTTGGGTGTGACATGGCCCCGGGTTGAATTCCTGAATGAGCCCTACCTTCGCTTTTAAACTGTCCTCTGTAATCGAGGGAATTATTGCTATTCACATCAACCACGACATAGTTACTTCCAATGCCATGAGCTGTCTGCTTTGGTTCTTGCATGACTGCTTGGTTCTCGTGCCGCCCTAAAGGTGGCAAAACCAAGATGAGAGCCAAGCTTGTTTCTCAACTTGTCCTTCTTGTAACAGAGTTTAATTTTGGTCATACTAGTCACCACGAGCAAGCTTTCCACATTCGTTCACATCTTTCACAGTAATATCTTGTGCAACCATCTCAAACTTTTAGCAGGAACCTACAGAACTGGAAGGACATACATTTGCAGTGTACAGTGCAACCCAGCGGTCCATGGCGCCTGTACCTGTGGGTCGCTTTTGCTTGCTGGTCTAGGTGGTATGATTCTCGCTTTTAGGGTGCTAGAGGTCCCCGGGTTCAAACCCGTTGAGCCCAAAGTGTAATGTTCAACTGTCAACCGCTTGGCTGCTTAGTTCACGAGAGATTCAAATTGCAGATAGGTGGATGTGTTTCTTGTAACTTACCTCGCGGTACCCTGCTCACTTTTTGCTCTGACACCTTTCAGGATATCCAATTTCAGGAACAACCCCTTTCATGTTTGGTCTCATTATTGGGTAAGCATCCTTGAGGGCCGACTTAGGAGATGAGAACTTGCCAACTCTCTACATCATCACAGCTTTGTAATAAAGCCAGTGCTAACTGGTGCATGTTTAAATGAACAAAAATAACAGCCAGGTGGGCTATTTCACTCGTTGGTCTAGGGTATGATTCTAATGTTGGGTGGTTGAAATCCCTGATAAGCCCTTACTTTGCTGTTAACTCTTTCCTTCTGTAATCGAGCAAATTTTGCTCTTCACCTCAACCGAGCTGCATAATGATCTGGCTGCTTGGCTCTCAAGAGGTTCTCTCAATTCAGACAAAATCAAACAAAAGAAGACTGTTGGGGATGTCCCCTATCCAACAGAATGTAGTTGATGGAATAATTGCAGTGGTAATAAATCATGGCTAAATAAACAACGTTTGTTTGCTGGTTATGATAGGGGATAGCTTGTTGCTACTTTCTGGGGAATCAAAACCCTGCTTCGGGATGTCTCCATCTCCCAAAAACAATTAGAAGAAAAATCACGTTTGAATAGAGCTAAAACAGCAAAGCCCTCACAGATTTTCTCTGAAAAGTAACAGGTGTTCTGGAACGCTTAGGGTGCGAGAGGTCCGGTTCAAATCGGATGAGCCCAAGTGTTACGTTCAACTGTCAACAGCTTGCTTAGTTCCGAGAGATTCAAATTGCAGATAGGTGGAACTTACTCTGTGGTTGTCATGGACAACCTTTCAGGGATGTCCAATTAGGAAAAGAACCCCTTTCAGGTTTGTTCTCATTATTGGTTGTTAGGCCGACTTAGGAATGAGAAATTGAACTCTAATCATACCAATAAAGCCAGTCTGATAACAATGGGCTATTGGTCTAGGGGTATGATTCTAATGTTGGGTGAGAGATGTCTCGGGGTTGAAATCCCTGATGAGCCCTTACTTTGCTGTTAACTCTTCCTTCTGTAATCGAGCAAATTTTTGCTCTTCACCTCAACCGAGCTGCATAATGATCTGGCTGCTTGGCTCTCAAGAGGTTCTCTCCAGAAAGGTTCAAAACCAAGATGAGCCCTTGCTTTTTTCTCAACTTGTCCTTTTGTATCTGAGGGCTGTTGTGCTCCAACACCGACACCACAAGCAAGCTATCCATCATCGTTAGTCAAATGCCATCTTGTGATGTCAACAGTCCAGCTCTGATTAAGGACTATGTTGATGCTAGTCTGATGATCACAAAAGCCCCTTTTCAGGGCATCCATGCGTTCTACCTTTGGTGTAGTGTCTTGGTGTACCAACTTCTGCTGTAAGAACCAGCAAGCTCTCCGTGTCACAAAGAAGATTCACAAGATAGTCAGTCGAATGCTGGCAAAAACCATCTTGTGATGTGAAGAATCCAGCTGTGAATAAAAGGCATATAGGCTTGACTACTTATCAAAGAGGCCCTTTTCAGGGAATGCACATTCCTGAAGAAATCATTTTCAGCAATGTTCCAATAGAGGATAAAAGGAGGATCGTGCACACTAATCATGAGGACAACGTAAGTTTCGAGTTCCTACCGCTAATATTGGCTTCCTTTGTGTTCTTTGGATTGTACCTGGAAGTGTCCATCTCTGAGTCAAAAAAGTACCTAATTCAGACAAAATCAGTCAAAAGAAGACTGGTTGGGGATGTCCCCTATCCAACAGAATGTAGTTGATGGAATAATTGCAGTGGTAATAAATCATGGCTAAATAAACAACGTTTGTTTGCTGGTTATGATAGGGGATAGCTTGTTGCTACTTTCTGGGGAATCAAAAACCCTGCTTCGGGATGTCTTCTATCTCCCAAAACAATTAGTTATAGCCCTGTTTGAATAGAGCGAAAACAGCAAAGCCCTACAGATTTTCTGAAAAAAGCACAGGTGTCTTGAACATTCTATGAGCGCAATATCTTGTGCAACTACCTGAATTGTTTAGTCTGAGCCTGCAGAACAATAAGGACAGATATTAGCAAGGTATAATAACACTTAAACTTCATGTGGCTCGTTGGTCTAGGGGTATGATTCTCGCTTTGGGTGTGAGCGGTCCTGGGTTCGACTCCCAGACGAGCCCAAGCTTTCCGTTGAACTTGGTACTTGCTTTGTTCACGAGAGATCGAAAAAGCTAGAAATTCCAAATAAGCTTGTCCCTCTTCAGCTGCTTTTGCTCAATACACCTTTCAGGGAAGCCTATGTTAAGGGAATGCCTGTTTCACCATGCAACCACAGCTTTGTAATAAAACCAGAGCTCAGCCATGTTACTTTGATCTCTGAAGACAAATGCAAAATAACTGTAGCAGGCGCTGATACCACTAAATTGAAATGGCTAGTGTGGGCGTGATGGACTAAGCTTGGAACCATATTGGAAAGGAAAGTAGAACTTTCTAGGATGTCTACTCTTGTCTATGTTATGACGGTTGTGCAAGTGGAAATGAACTAAAACAAAAGTACCTTGAGGTAAACCAGTCTGATAAGCAATTTGGCTTGATGGCCTAGGGGTATGATTCTAATTTTGGGTGAGAGTGGTCCCCAGTTGAAATCCCTGATGAGCCCTTTCCTTGCTGTTAACTCGTCCTTCTGTAATCAAGGAAAATTTTGGCCGTCACCTCAACCGAGCTTCACGACATAGTTGATGTCAAGAGGTTCTCTCCTGCCAGGTTCAAATCCCTGATGAGGCTTGTATTTTTCTGAACATGCCCTTCTGAATCTGAGGGCCATTTTGCTCAAAACACCATTCAGGGAAACCCATGTTCAGGATATCCTCCCTTTCACAATGTCACCTCAGCACTCGCTTTCCTGTCAAGCTGTCCTTCTGTAACCAATTGCCATTTTTCTCGGAAACCTTTCAGGGAGGCCCATTTGCAAGGACTCCCCTTATCAGGTTTTGTCTCCCAATTGGTTAGCACGTTGGAGGTCCAACTTCGGCGATGAGAACTTGCAAACTCTCTACGTCATCACAGCTTTGAAATAAAACCAGTGCTGAACGATATCATTTTGATCTCTGAAAAGAACACAAATAAATGTAGCAGGAACCTATACCACTACATTGAAATGGCTAGTGTGATGGACTAAGGTTGAAACAGCCAGATTGGCTGTTTAGCTTGTTGGGCGCAGGGATTTGATTTGATTCTCACTTTGGGTGTGACATGGCCCGGGTTGAATTCCTGAATGAGCTCTTACCTTCGTTTTAAACTGTCCCTCTGTAATCGAGGGAATTATTGCTATTCACTTCAACCACGACATAGTTACTCGAATGCCATGAGCTGTCTGCTTGGTTCTTGCATGACTGCTTGGTTCTCAAGCGTCCTAAAAAGGTACAAAACCAAGATGAGAGCCAGCTTGTTTCTCAACTTGTCCTTCTGTAACAGAGTTTAATTTTGGTCATACTAGTCACCACGAGCAAGCTTTCCACATTCGTTCACATCTTTCACAGTAATATCTTGTGCAACCATCTCAAACTTTTAGCAGGAACCTACAGAACTGGAAGGACATACATTTGCAGGGTACAGTGCAACTCCAGCGGTCCATGGCGCTGTACCTGTGGGTCGTTTGGCTCGTTGGTCTAGTGGTATGATTCTCGCTTAGGGTGCGAGAGGTCCCGGGTTCAAATCCCGGATGAGCCCAAGTGTTACGTTCAACTGTCAACCGCTTGGCTGCTTAGTTCACGAGAGATTCAAATTGCAGATAGGTGGATGTGTTTGCGTAACTTACTCTGTGGTACCCTGCTCACTTTTTGCTCTGACACCTTTCAGGGATGTCCAATTTCAGGAACAACCCCTTTCAGGTTTGTTCTCATTATTGGTTAGCATCTTGGAGGGCCGACTTAGGAGATGAGAACTTGCCAACTCTCTACATCATCACAGCTTTGTAATAAAGCCAGTGCTAACTTGTGCATGTTTAAATGAACAAAAATAACAGCCAGGTGGGCTATTTCACTCGTTGGTCTAGGGGTATGATTCTAATGTTGGGTGAGAGATGTCTCGGGGTTGAAATCCCTGATGAGCCCTTACTTTGCTGTTAACTCTTCCTTCTGTAATCGAACGAAATTTTTGCTCTTCACCTCAACCGAGCTGCATAATGATCTGGCTGCTTGGCTCTCAAGAGGTTCTCTCCAGAAAGGTTCAAAACCAAGATGAGCCCTTGCTTTTTCTCAACTTGTCCTTTTTGTATCTGAGGGCTGTTGTGCTCCAACACCGACACCACAAGCAAGCTATCCATCATCGTTAGTCAAATGCCATCTTGTGATGTCAACAGTCCAGCTCTGATTAAGGACTATGTTGATGCTAGTCTGATGATCACAAAAAGCCCCTTTTCAGGGCATCCATGCGTTCTACCTTTGGTGTAGTGTCTTGGTGTACCAACTTCTGCTGTAAGAACCAGCAAGCTCTCCGTGTCGCCCAAGAAAAATTCACAAGATAGTCAGTCGAATGCTGGCAAAAACCATCTTGTGATGTGAAGAATCCAGCTGTGAATAAAGAGCGCAAGCTTGAACTACTTATCAAAGAGGCCCTTTTCAGGGAATGCACATTCCTGAAGAAATCATTTTCAGCAATGTTCCAATAGAGGATAAAAGGAGGATCGTGCACACTAATCATGAGGACAACGTAAGTTTCGAGTTCCTACCGCTTAATATTGGCTTCCTTTGTGTTCTTTGGATTGTACCTGGAAGTGTCCATCTCTGAGTCAAAAAAGTACCTAATTCAGACAAAATCAGTCAAAAGAAGACTGGTTGGGGATGTCCCCTATCCAACAGAATGTAGTTGATGGAATAATTGCAGTGGTAATAAATCATGGCTAAATAAACAACGTTTGTTTGCTGGTTATGATAGGGGATAG